TGTAAAAATGTAATATACTTGAAAGCGTAAATAAATTCTAAAATCTAAAAAAAAAAATCTAAAATCAACAACACCAACGGCAACAAAATTTGGTAGTTTTCAAACATATGACCAGGAGTAGATAATAGATAGGGAATTGGGAATAATAGATAATAGACAATTATAATATAGATAATTTCTACTATAATAGATAATAGACAATCCCCTAGATAATAGGGAATCCCTATTATCTACTCCTGATATCACGAAGAAAAGAACTTAACGATATTATGAACAAAATTTGGTAGTTTTCAAACATATGACCAGGAGTAGATAATAGATAGGGAATTGGGAATAATAGATAATAGATAATTATAATATAGATAATTTCTACTATAATAGAAAATAGAAAATCCCCTAGATAATAGGCAATCCCTATTATCTACTCCTGATATGACGAAGAAAAGAACTTAACGATTACGGGAATCTGCCTTTAATGTCTGATATGTTAACCAACAATATCTTTGCTATTAGTACCTATGGCTAATACGTAATAATCATAAGTTCATAGGCGGCCAAGCATAACTGCATAGAAAGCGGAAACCCTTACACTTGCGTTAACATTCCGTTTCTTCTCAGTTAGACTGAGAGCGCGCATCTCGTTGCTATATAGGCCTCACCCCCTTGCTTTGATACTTTGCTATATTTTAGTAGGCTGCTCAGTATGTTAGCACTTCAAGCGTCAAACAAGGGCGCGGCGCCATCTAGCGGTCGTACTTTTGCGCTTCTCATGCGCATAATACTCTCTCGTGAACTTTTCGTTGAATATAATCGCAATCAGAAAAATTCCTAAACTCCGCTGGGCAAAATTATGTCAACGAAACTTTCTTTCATTCCGGAAAACGCGCAGGAAATTTCTTCGACTTTCAGATACTTTTCCGTAACGAAATGTCAAATTATTCCAACACGACCAATTGCAGTGAACGAACTCACTGCGGACGACGAAGATATTATTATGAAATAGAAAGATATATAGATTCAGGAGTTAATGAGACAAATTAATTAAAAAGACAATTTGTCTCATTAACTCCTGATA